CTTACTGCCTACTGACCAGTCTTAATATTGTCCACTAACCAACACAGTGACTGATCTAAAAACTCTACATGACTGACCAAACTGTCCGCCGAGCCAAACGGGCCATCTGACGATGATAGGAAGGACAAGTGAGACACTGAGAACAGAGGGAAGAGCGAGGCTGATGCATCTGTCAGTGATAGACATGGAGAGTCCTCCAAACTGTTGAAATTTCTCCCTCCCGCTGAGTCCGTCTGTCCAACCAATCTTGGTGTCTTGCAGCGCAGTAATATTGTAAATGTCAGAAACGGCTTGCTATTCCTCCCCTCCGTCTCTATAATGGACATACCTGTAAAATCAATTTGCACTAATCATAGCTTAGTGTCAGGGAATCCAAATTTGATCTTCCAGCGCTGAAATCATTGCAGCGGAGCGCCAAAGACCAGGCAAAAATCAGGGGAGCGCATTTCTTAAAAGCATTGGGGGGGGGACATTTAGAGAGCCATCTTCCCCTCTGAGCTGTCTAAACAATGCCTTGTCAGTCATCACTGACTATTGCACTTGTCTCTAAAAACTCTACTCTTAGCATTTCAGATGAGGAGAGAAGTTTTGATGGCATGTGAGATTTGGTCTTTCCAAATCCGGGAGTGCCGCTCACTCCCCCGCCTTATTCTTTCTACGTCTGTCAGGTTAAAGCCTATTGTTACTCAGCCCTCTGGGATGATTGTGATGGTGACACTGCTGCTCTTTTCACTTTCAATCAAGTCTGAAATGGCTGACAAACAGGTCACAGTCTGTCTATCTGCCTCTTTATCTTTTGACAGTTTCTCTCATCATTGTTAGGTTTAATTACCTGGCTAAGTTAGATACTTCTGGGGCAGTCGCACCTTGCTACGGCCATCGCAACAAAGTAGGTAAAACTCACGAGAGATTTTAACACTCTTGTGATTGGTGGATTGAATAAAGGAAAAGAATAAATCCCTAGCAGTCCTTCAGCAAATTAGAGCTCCTTAAGAAGTAATTGCTTCTAGTC